ATACGCATCACTATCGGGGCGACACGCGAAAGCATCGCCCAGCTAAGCAAAAGGATTAACGCGCTTTTCCTAAATATATCTAACAGCTGGAGGGCAATGTCGAGCGGTGGGCTTGCCGCGATATGAGGGACAGGGTGGAGGAAAGGGACCGAGTAGTGGGAGAAGACAATCGATAGAGGAGTATGACAGTCGATCTCTTGTACAGCGGTTTGGTCACATAGTTATCTATATCGTGTGGGGGTGTGGACGTCAGCAGGACAATACAGTGAAAGAAAAACAAACCTCTTGAGTAGGAGTGGACGACACTTAATTTGTCAATGACATTTCTTTTTATTTTCCCAGAAAGCAAATAAAAGACCTGCACCTTTATGCCTTTGAAATTGTTTTCAAAATGAAAGAAAAGATGAAAACGTGTTTCTTTGACCAGTATCGTTACCTTATCTTTAATTAGGAGAACGTTTCCTTCCATTAGGTGAGAGACGTTTTCTGGAAAAGCAATGAAAGAAGAAACCAAAGACTTATCCCTGTCTCAACGATCATACGAGCAAAGGAAAGTGCATAGTCAGTAAAAATAGCACACGAGAACATGAGAAGAGGTTGAAATGATGATAAACCTTCTAGCTTCCGTCAGCAACGTAATCACCATGCGCTTATTTGTTTGTCTTCATGTGGATAAATGAGTGGAAGAGCATCTGAGAGAAATACAGGCGACTGAATAATCTACAAACATGGTATGTAGTTGCTTCGAATTTTGTAGGCAAAGTTGTTTGTTTTTTCAGTAGAATCAATATTCCATATTATTGCTAGTTAAATGCATGTCACAAAAGGTCCGAACATATTATGAGTAAACACCAGTCTTTTTTAGAGAGCGAGGCTTGAACATTATCCAAATATTTTTGTAAACGCTCAGAAGCTCCCTGATCACCTACTTTGAGGCAAGTTACTTATTATAAAAGCTTCGGTATATGTCACTTCTTGGACACTTCTGAAACAAGATTCGAAGAACTAAATTGTGTTACGTCCTGGAATTGCCTAATTATTCCCTTCAAGTAGTGTCTGAAGACCGTTTTCATTATCCGTTTGCTTAAAGAAAGAATTTTGAGTAGATTTTGTTTCAATGCTTTTCTACCTCTGTTATTAGGTTGGGCCGTTTCTTGTTAAAAATACAGCGTTCATATTGCGAAAGAGAAAATATTAGTTGCGAGCTGACAGAGGCAGGCTTGCTAAATTCAAGCATCAAATTATTCTTAGGGTAAAGAAACCTTCATCTTTTCTTTGGGCTTGTCCGATTTTTCGACCCTGAATCAATCGTGTGACTAAAGGCCCGGTTACACGTAACGATAAATTGTACAAAAATTGGACTATCTAGCGATCATACGATAAAACGTTAGGTGTAACGGAGACAAAAAAGTAGTAATCTCCGGGTGTAATCACAAAATTGTACAAAATTTGGACGCTTGAACAATGATTTGGAGACTCGGTCGAGAAATCAAGCGCCGCTTGATATTTTCCTTGCGATCACGGTCACACATGAGGGAGACGCGCTGTTACGTAGATTCTCTTTGAAATTTGCCGCCGCGCAGAACTAAACTCAGGACTCAACATTTTAAAAATAATTATCGTAGGTAAAAACTGGTTTCATATTCAGAATTAGTGTCTCAAAATAAGCAGTGTATTCCGCTAGCAACCTGATTGGTGCGTTATTATATATATTTTCGCAATTTTATTTAGTTGATCGTCAAGGGGGAAGCTGTGCATCAAGGTCACTCGGTGCGCTGCACATCTAGCTTCCGGCGGAGATGACTAGTTTGTCTCCGCTTCCGGTTCTACACACAACACGGCAGGCCTACAGTATGGCCACCCTTTTCTAAAGTCACTGTTCTGCTAAATCGAAATGTATAGGGGGGAAAGGGGG